GCTTAATGACTTTGAGGATTCCCCAAGAGTCAGATTCCCCAAGGTCGAGAGCGGGGAGGTTGTTGGCCTCCAGTGCCACCCTAGCATGATGGCGAAATCCCTTTTCAGGGGCTATAAGGTTTTGCATGTGTGCATGCAGGAGGACCACAAGGATCTCCCTAGAGAGGTCATTAGGGAGAGCTAGATGGATAGTGGGTTCGGTCTTGGTCTGCTTAATTTCTTGGCGGACCTGGTTTATGAGAGGTTTCCAGGTCCTCGTGGTGGCTTGCACAGCCTCCTGTGCGGTTTTTTGAGCCACAGCCCTGAATGGCTTGGCTTCTGTTTCCTTCTCCTTCTCCCTAAGCCTCTCCTGGGAGACCTTCATGGCCTCTTTTCGGGTGGGACAGCTGTTAGCAAACGTCCTGTGGGCACCGCCACAGTTAAGGCACTTTTTTATGGGACTTTTACAGTCCCTATAGGAATGGGTGCCGGAGCCGCACTCCGTGCACCGCGTCTTCTTCTCTGCTTTGCACTGGTTTTTAAGGTGACCGTAACCAAAGCAGTTCATACACTGTTTGAGGGGGGTATATTTCTCAAACTCAATTTGCCAGGGGGCAACATATAGTTTGAAGAGGTATATCCCCTTCTCTTTGATTTTCTTTGCTATGGTGTGGTCTGAGAACCTGACCTTGATGATATAATTGAGCTTCATTATATAAATGTTCTCAACTTGGGCGTCCGGGAAGGAAGAGGTAATCTCTTCTTCAATGTCTAGGGCCGACTCGTTGACGACTTGTCGGTCAAGTTTTTTGAAAACCAGTGTGAGTTTGGCTTTCATGTCCACAGGGAGGACAGGGGAGAAACCGAGTTTCTCCAAGGACTGGACGACGTCCTGCGAGAAGAGTTTCTCGGCGTGGACGTCGTCCTCGATCAAGGCCAGGTATCCGTCATGAAGGGTAAAGTACCGGAGTACTCTGATCTCTGCACCGAAGAGTGCATTGGCAAGACTATCTCTTTTCCTCTGGGTGGGGGCACCGAGAGTTTTGATCTTAATTTTGGGCATGGTCAATGGTACATTGGTCGGGGGTAATGCCGGGTGAGTGACGTGATCGGTGATCGATGAGGTGATGGAGAGAGAGAGAAAGTGAGGGAAAAAAGGAGCCTACACTCGACCCCCCCTTGTGGCAGACTGGTTGCGTTCTCCAGTGCACAAGGGGATTGGAGCTTTGTGATGAGCTACCCCCTTATTGCCAATCCTTGCTACAAAGGGGCAACAGGTAGGTAGCACGCCACCCAGACGAATACAAAAATCCCCAGGGGATTTATGTAGGTCCAGGTGACCACAAGAAAGGGGAAGGAGTTTAGGAGGAGAAAAAGAACACCTAAATGTCACCTCAGACTGCTGGGCCTTTCTATACAGGTTTCCCTGTGATAGAGAGAGCTGCGGGTCTGAGGAGAGGTGTAATGTTCCCTTATCACCGTCAATGATCAAAAGAGGACTGCTAAAGGCAGAAGAAAAAAAGCAAACAGTCTCTGGAAAAGTCAGAGGAAGTTTACTGTTCATTTACTTTATTGCTAATCAGAATAATGGCAAATCGAGTTCGCGGCGCGATTGAGGCCTCGGCAGACCAAGGGAGCTCAATGACACTTTGAATGTTCGCTTTGCAATTATGGTGAGTCGCTTAGGATTGACTGGGTGATGGTGGGAAGAGGACTTTTGTTTTTGTCGCATTAGTTTTGATAAGCCATTTGTGCTCCCACCTCGAGACGGTGTCAAGCTCGTCATTGATTCGTCGGACAACACCAGCAAGCGAACCATGTCTGGCTAAGTGAGTACAGTCGTCGGCGTAAAGAAGCGTCAATGAATCGGGAAATGTGGGGTCGGGGAGGTCGTTCGTGTATAATATGTATAGTGTTGGGCTGATTATCACGGTCAAACGTATGCCACATAACAAACGCCACAGCCACAGCCATAGCGATACCCGACCAACCACTGAGCTCGCTCTTTGATTGCCTGATATCGCTCACCTGTAGCTAGCCTTGTTGTGCCGCTCACGCCGTGCTTTGCCAGCTCTCGCTGAACAAACACCTCTTGACCTGCAAGGTAACCTATGTTACCGAGAGTAAACATTGACAAAGTGACACACAGACGGCTCCGTCAAGCCACCGTGGTTTACCGCGACCTTGACCAGGCCACCCTGTGTGTCACT